CTCCTGGTTTGTCAGCCGCCCTGAGTCCCTTTGGGAATAGGGTGGCATACAAGTCGAATAAACCACTAAACCAACCACCACTTAAGGTATTGAAATGTCTGCAAAAAAAAAAAAAAAAACAAACAAGCTCAGAGAAAACCAAGGACCCCTCAGTTTTATAACTGTTGTATGATTGATTGGGAAACTTGTGTAACCCATCATCTGAGGTTCCTGTTGGAGCAAGGGAAGATCTGCAATTCTGGGCAATGCTTCTCAGCCTTCATTGCATCTTCAGTCCGTTGACCAAGAACATTGTTTTCCAAGTTATTCAGATTATTTCAGATGGAAAAATAAAACGGCAGAACTAGGCAGTCCTTGACACGCTGGATAAATAAAACTAAACCCTTGCGTAAAAGTAAAAGTTGCCATGTCCATCCTTAAAAAAACCCTCTCTTTTTATCATGCATTTATAATTTACACCCCATGTAAACCAGTAGTAGTCATATGGAACCAGGCAGCTGTTCTGATAATGTGAAATGTGGGTCTTTTGCCTTTCCTCCCCATATTCCTCTGCTTCTCTACTCACTGCAACAGCAAAAGCAATGGGACCAGCAAAGCTCCAAATCAGAGTATCATAGATGGAGAGCCAACAAAAGTCTGGGTTTCCATATCCTTCAGGATCCAGGCCCACAGCAAGTCCTAAAGAAAATACCACACAAAACAATCAATAAAGAGGAAACATAAATCCTTAAACGTTTCATCTACTCTATAGCTAGAAGATTGTCACTTAGGCAGAAAGTTGGAATTGAACGAACTTTGACAGGACAGTATTAAGGTTTTGATTGTCATCTCTCCTGCATGGCATGGGTCCAGACTACTTGAGCAACAGTCTGATCCAGATGGGACTCGCCCACCCCACCCATGCCAGCAGGGGGCATCTCCTCCCTGAGGTGAGATTGGCTCCCAACCTCCTGACTTTGTGTAATAGCTTTAAGACCTGGTCCTGCCAGATGGCTCTCCTAATGGAAGACCTTCACTCTGGAGGTGGTGGTCTAATCCTATTTCCCTCTCCCCCATGTATCTGGCTCCCTCCTTTGCCATCTTTTGTTCATGATTTTATCTGCTTTAGTATTTTATAATTGATTATTTTAATGTTTTTATGTTGTAAGGTGCCCAAAGTCATTGGGCATAAGATGGGCAGCAAATAAATTTCAAGATAAATAAATAAATAAATAAATAAATAAATAAATAAATAAATATCCTGCTTAAATTGATTCAGTTACCTGTTATAAGACTAGCAGAGGAAGGAACCATTTTATTTTAATAAAATAAGCTATTTTCTTTTTAATAAAACTAGCTGATAATCTGTTGTTGTCTGGGTATTTATTCATAAGAAAGGGGGGGGGGGATGTCCAGACTAAACATAATTTCTAATGTTGGATTTTCCCCTTAACAGAGGGAGCCCCCTTGTGGAGTACTGTGAAGCCATTACCATAGCATAAGCTGTACAGTAGAATCCATTTTATGGCAGTATAATAGAAGCCATCTGAAGCAGGGGTGGGTTTCGACCGGTTCGCACCTGTCCCTGCGATCCGGTTGGTCGCCGAACCC